GTTGTGTTGGGCCTTGCCGGAACTACCCTATCTAACTGCACRGAGAAAGAATCGAGTTTAATTGAGCTATGTAATTAAAATGAGTCTGCAGAGGTGAATGTGAGGATGAAATGAGTCACTGGGAGTTTACTATCAGTAGTTGGTCGTAAAGAAGGATGTATTTGTTACGTCAACAGCGGTGACAATAGCAGGGGTGTGTGCAATAGGTTGAAGTTTACAGTAGCTCACTGTTGGACCATTATATTTTTCCACTTACATGATTATTTTTATTTATTGGGAACCTGCCTCGTGAGTCTTGTACAGACCAGCTTTCTGAGCTTCACCACGGCAGTTTTGTACCCTGAAACTAATGTATTGCCCTAACGTTCAGACCAGGACTGTTCAACCTGTGTGTTGATTGAGCTGCTGTTGAGCAGCTCAGGTTAATCTGCTGTTTGACTTTGGGGCCTTTTGCTGCAGCTTTTCCAGGAGCTGGGAGAGGCTTTTGCTGCTTGTTTGCTGTGGAGTGAAGCAAGAGGCCTGGGGTTGGCCCTCCTGCGGTGGGTGGGGAGCTGGTGTCCTCTATCAGCAGCTCTTATCTGAACTCCGCGTTGCAGAATCGCAGCTTGTTAAAGTGCAGCAGGGCCCCAGCCCTTACCCTCCTGCATTTTGCTCCTCATACATCRTGCTCAAACTGTTCAGCATTGCCATTGTTTTGATTTCTGGTTTGAATAACCAAGTGGGACTTGTCTCCCATTCCATTTTGGTGCTGAAGTGACTCGATGGCTTTGCCCTCTAGGAAGAGGGAGGCCGGGCAGGGCAGGCGAAGCGCCGCTCCGCTCCTCGTGACTCACCCTTTGCTTACTTGGTTGCTTGGAGGCAGCGGCCACGTAAGGGCCTGGGCGAGGCCCTTGTGTGCGGGATCCTGTGTGCGGATCGGAGCCCGGGAAGGGGCCCTGTGGGCGCAGCCTGGGCGGGAAGGGGCCCTGCGGGTGCCCACGCGTGGCCCAAGGAGCCCATGGGGAGCGGGGCCTGCGGCGGGCGGCCCGGCCCTCGTCCCGGTGCCCCGGCTGCCTCCCTGCTCCGCAGCTCCCCTTTTCCTTACAGCTCTGGCTTGTGGGCACTGAATCCGCATACACAGAGCAGGAGCAAGGCCCGTTCGTCTACAAGGATGCTTCCTGTCTGCTGGTTTAAACCGTGATTATAGCTAGGGMTTTGAATTAATTCAAACACACTAACCAAAATTGGAGAGGAGCTGCCCTCACCCTTGCCCGGTTCCCCTTGTGCAGGAACCGGAGTGGCAGTGGCCGCCCGCTCCGGGAGCCGCCGGGTGTTGCCGGCGGCCGCTCATTTGCCTGGGTGCCGCTGAGCTCGCGGAGCGGGTGACTCGGGGTGGCAGCCGCGGGCCCCGCGCCCGCCCCCGCAGCGCTCGGCGGTGTCGCCCCCGCAGCGCTCGGCGGTGTTGCCCCCGCGGCACTCCGGGGCGGCGCGGAGAGCGGCGCTGCAGGGCACGGGGCCGGCTCCTGCGAGACCCGCAAGAGCTACCAGGCCCAAGGCAGTTATCCCAGGGATGCCAAGGATTTAAAGGGGGAAAGCTCCCTTTGGGTTCCTGCTCCCATGTCTGCCCCGGCTTGGGCTCTTCTCGGGGTTCAATAGGAGCCTCGAGAGCCCCAGACGGGGACGTGGGACAACCACAGGACTGAAGAGGCCGTGATTAAAATTGCAAAAGCAAGAAGCTGCTGTTCGGAAAGACCAGAATTTCAGCCTGAGCTGGCAGAGCGTGAGCCGTGAGCGCCGGTGCTCGCCGAGGGAGCAGTGGGGAGAGCCGGGGCTGCTCTTGCCCGTGGGAGGGCCTGCGTCCCCAGCGTGGGGCTCCTTGGCCGCCAGCGCCGGCTCCTTGCGGCTATTTTCAGGCGGGGAGCTGGAGGTTTAGTGCAAGCCCCCATCCTGCTGCCGTATCTCGAGGTCTGTGAGGTTTGAAGCTGGCGGAGGTTTCTGGTGGTGGAAACCGTGACATAAAGAGCTCGTTGGAGCCTCCCCAGCCTCCCGCCACTCTTGGCCTTTTCCTCCTGTGTAAGATGGAAAGTGAGGAGGAAATACAGGTAAATTGGGAGGAAAGGAATGTATCACCTTGCTGTGCTCCAGCGCCGCGTGCCCCGCTTAACCCCGGTCCGCCCCAAGGTGGGCAGGCTGGCTGATTGTCCCTTGGCAAAAGCAGTTGGGTTAGTGTTTTAGCCAAATTGCTGCTTTATGTGCACAGCATCACACGGAGACTCAATTACAGGGAAACGGCTAACGATSTTAGCGTGGCTCCTGTCACGCAACCTGTGCACTGCAAACGGGTGGGGAAAGGCGGGTTTTGCTCAGGGAAAGAGGCAGGGAGGGGTGTCTGTGTTCGGCCACGCTTTGTGCGGCRCCACGTCCGCGCGCTGAGCCCCCAAATGCTCAAGTCACAGCGTGGCTCCTGGGAGAGGAGCCACACGGCAGAACCCAGGCGGATCCTGCGGGAAGAGGGCTGGGAATGAGCGGTGGGGACAGCTGGCGTYGCGCTGCAGCAAGCGCCGAGCAGCCCCACGCGCACAAGGCGGGCGCCCCGCGCGCGCTGCCAGTCTGGCACCCTCGCACGCGCTGCGCAAGCCAGCGCAGGGAGTAAAATGAGCAACAGCAAAATATTTCCATCGTAGGCAGCAGATGACGGATAGAGCCAAAAATCTTGCTTTGTGCCTGGATGGGGACTCGCGGCTTCCCTGCACAGAGGGGACGGTCACGGCGGGGCACACGAGGTGCCGCGGCCTGCGGCTGCTGCCCTTGCGCTTGGGCAGGGCTTGGGGAGGGTTTTGGCAGCATCCCCGCCGGGACAGGAGCCCGGGAAGCTGGGTCGGCCCGGGGGGAGCTCGCTGGTGGCTTTGGGCATGGGTTCTGCCTTCCTTGCAGGAGGTGCCTGCGAGCAGCTGCTTCTCCCAGCTCCGAGAGATCCCAAACAATCTCTTTTCTCTGAGTATTTTCCTTATGCTTAAAAGCTGGCTTTTTGCTGAGCAAAAATCCCCTGGGAAATAAAGAGCTGGTTTTGCCCCTTGGGATCAGCATGGCAGCGAATTTCTCCGGCCAAGCGTGCGCTTTGATATGTTTAACATCCAGTGCCTTTGGTTTCGAAAGCCCTTGGAAAGCTCGAGATGGAAAACTGCTGCATAAAGGCCAAGAGCTCTAGAGAAGTGGAACAATAACATGCGGTGCCGCTGTTGTGCCAAATGGAAACGAGCCCTTTCGATACAACATAAAATAATATCGGAGGAGTGACCTGCTGATCTAAGCATCGATGGGGGCCTGGAACCGCTTTCCTTTTACTCCTTGAGTCARTGCAAACTTAATTCTGAATAAATGACTTTTCTGACAGCTATAGAAGGTGGATAATACTGACTTCCTTAATAGATTATTGCACAGATTGGTTATTTTGTGAAGCCTGGGCAAATTAATTCTGAGTTACTGCTGCAAAAATATTGCAGAATTACACACCTAGCAATTACAGAGCAAGGAAACAACTGTGAGCTTTGAGCATTCAGAACTGCAGTGAGCAACGCTAGAGAAAGAGGTTTAATTTGAATGTGGAGGATTGAAGGGTTCAGCAGGAGCCGTCTGAAAACCAGGAAAATGTTATCTGAAAGTGAAAYAGCTTAAAAGACGTAAAGAAGCAGACCAGGCTGGTGCAGCTGGGTGTGAATGGAATGAACTTGCTGTTAAGGGGCTGGTGAGATAACAGCAAGTGAAGGGCTTCCTCAGAGCAGAGGCTCAGCGGCAGGGAGCAGAAAGCGCCCAGTTTGTGCTGCTGGTACCGCCTAAGGAAGCCTGGGGTGCCCTGCGGACCTGCCACTCGTTGCCATGCGAGAGCCCTGCCCTGCCCTGAAATCCTTGGGGAGCTGAAGACACTTGGGGAAAGTGTCTTGGGGAGCTGAGGCCCTAACAAGGCTCAGCTTCTGCAGAATTCCGTGATTTGGGAACTTTGTCCAGAGCAGGTGTCGCTCACAGGGCCTGCTCCGTACTCGGGGTGTCCACGGCACCGCGTTTCTCCCGCCAAGGACGGGCTCTCAGCCCAGGGCCTCKGCGACAAGCGCCCCTGGGCCCAGAGAGCCGAGGTTTCTGCAACGGAGCGGCGCTGGCACCCTCGCGSTCCCGGGCCTTTGGGGAGCCGTTTGGGTGCAAATCAGAGGGAGGCCAGGCCCGGGGTGCCGCCAGAGCCGCCGGGGTGCCCGGCGGGGCCCGCCCGGGGCTGCCGGCAYATCCCGCCCTGGGAACCAGACGCTCAGGTTGAGCTCAGACTATTAAAAATAGAGGCTGCGCTCCCGCCAAGGGAGGGGAGGGAGGGAAGGGCTGCCAGGGAGGGCGGCTGCAGCTCGGGCATAAAAGCTGCTCTGTTCGCTGGGCCCGGTGCGGGGGAAACGGGGCACACAGGGCGGGGGGAAACGTGGCAGAAACGCTGGAAAAGGGCAAATAGTTTAAATCTGTCATTTCACCCAAATCTATGATTTTCCCTTTTTATTTTCAGTCTGGCTCCTTAGTCCCTGACCTTAATAGACGGTGGGAAACTAGGCTGGAAACCTCTTGAAATAGATTTTTGTGTGTTTTTTTTTTTTCTTCCTACTGCCAGCCAGGGAGGAGGCTGCTCCTGGGGCCCYGTTGTGGGGGCCCGCGGCAGCTCCCCGGGCCGCTCCCCGAGCCGCTCCCCGGGGCTGAGGCGGCTCCTCCCGGCTCGGAGGCGGGGACACCGGGACGCCGGGAGGCGGGCACCGTCAGCACCAGAGCGCGGCGCAGCCGTTAGGCCGCCTCCCTGGGGTCGCCATTTCCCCCTCTCCTGCCTTCGCCTCAGCCCCCCTCAGAGAAACCGGTGGGCCACGCCCCTCCCGGGCCCCGCCCCCTGCTCAAAGGCAGCCTCCCCCTCCACAAGCCCCGCCCCCGGCTCCGCCAAGCCCCGCCCCCGGGCGGCGGTGGCGCGCAGGGCGGTGGCGGGCGCGTTGCCGTCCAGCAGCGGGCGAGGCGAGCGGCGCGGCTGCATCATGGCGCTCTCCGTGCCCGTCAACGGGCTCAAGGAGGGCGACAAGGAGCCCGTCATCGAGCTCTTCGTGAAGGTGAGGCGCCGTCCACGCCGTTGT